GAGTGTATTTTATGCCTCTTTCATATGTCTTTTTTCCTCATGTAAGAAGGCTCTGTGCTTGCGGCATTGAGTTCTTCTTAGTGGTGCATCTGGCATTATGTTTTCATCAGCACTGATTAAATTCCCTATTGGTGTGGTTATCATGGACTACAAACCACTAGTTCCTTCTATAGGATTTTGTTGTGTTATCACTTTCTTCTTCTTCAACAAGGAGTCTTCTTTGGTACCGATCTTCAGCAGTGATGACAATCCTTCTTTCTCTTGGTGACTGACTATGTCCATCAGGGGACCCTCATAGTTTACGTTGACCTGACCGAAGTCTAAGTCAAAGTCTATGATTACACCCTAAGCTACCCTTTCTTTGTTCAGTGCGAGATTCAAGCTGTCTCTAAAAGACATTTTTCTATAGAAGACAGAAAAAATATTAGTGCGCTGAAATTCAGCACGAACATGAACAAAAAACAAAGTATTTCGTAAACAAAATTAATTTTTAATTTATACTGATGCAAATTTTATTTATTTAATTTATTTTAATTTAATGAAATTTCAAAATTAGAAATAGAATAGGAGAAATAAAGTGAGCAACTTTCAAAATTTTCATTTTATCGAGGTTAATTTTATTACAAAATTTTGGACCCAGTCATAGACGCTTGGCCAAAAAAATAACTCCAGAACAATCAAAATTTCAAAAGATTTGATTTCAAGTAATTTCACGTATGTCTTCAAATAGTAGCCATTAACCAGCAGTGCAGGCTTTCACCTAAAAAATCCACCAGTTGGTAAGATCCTCCCAAATAAACCTTCTATATGACAAATGGTCCCTCCCAAGTTGGTTTGAGTTTTCCACCTAACTTGTAGTGTGCAAGAATAAGTCTTTTGAGAATAAAACAAGGTCACCAACTTTGAATGCCCTCGGGCAGACCAATTTGTCATAAGTTTGCACCATCCTTACTTGGTAGAGCTCCAAATGCTATTGTGCTTCTAATCATTTTCCCTCGAGACTTTCCAATTCTTCAAATTTGAGTTTTGTAATTTCTTCGATTGTGATTTACTTAGTGAAGGTTACTCTAAGAGATGGTGTATGGACTTCTAGCGACAATACGACCTCATACATGTGCACAAGTGCATAGGGTTTACATTGAGTGGGAGTTTTGAACGTTGTCTGGTAAGCCCACAAAGCTTCTAGTAATTTATTATGTCAATCTCTTTTGTTTTCATCCAATGTTTTCTTTAAGATTTGCATGAGCATCTTATTGAGGGCCTCAGCCAGTCTGTTTTCCCTGGGATAGTAAATTATAGAGTATTGATACACCTAAAATATATAATGTTTTTAGACACATTTTTATAACTATTTTTGAGATATTACGCTTTAATGGAAGGTATTTGTGTTTTTTTCTTTCAGGTACAAGTAAAAAATTGAAAAATGCTAAAAGGAGTGAAAAAGGATCAAATTTGGAGCAAAAATATAAAATTTGTGCAAAATTGTTTTGGCGCCTAAGCGCCAGATCCGACAATCAAACCGGCCGCTTAAGCGCCGGTGAAATAGAGAAGGTTGCGCCTAAGCGCCAAAGGCAGTTATTTTGCGGTTTTCTTCATTTGACTGAATTTTGAAGAGACATTTGAGGCAACTATTGGCTAAAGAGGGTGGTTATGACAACTGGGAACGAAAATGTTATTAAAAGACTTGTGGAATGAGGCATCCCATGGAGAATACGTCAAATTTGGACACAATTTGAAGAATTTCCTAGGCTCCTCTTGGGAAATTTATAAAAGAAGGAAGTTAAGACATTTGAGAGGGGTACTTGAAGAGGGAGAGAGTGATGAGTTCTGCGAAGATTGTGGAGAATCTTGTGCAGAGATTCAGGCACCAAAAATTTACTTTTTCTTTTTTGTTTTTAGTTTTTTTTTAGAGTATAGAGTGTTGTAAAGAGAAGAGATTCAAAGGAACTTTAAGAGTTTTGTGAAAGATTTGAGATAAGTTTTTATCTTTGTCTTTAAACTACTTTTGGCTTTAATCGAAACTTCTTGTTGGTTTGATAATGATTCCTACTTTTAAACTAAAGTGTAGTTTTGTTTTCTCTATGGATTCTGAGTAGTTTTCTTTATCTTTCTCCTTAGAATGATAAGTAATTAATGTGTTAGATGGAAGTTGTGGAGAGTATTAATCTTTAACGTTGGAAGAAGTTGTGATGACTTAATTCCATGTACTTCATTTACTTCTTCATTTGGCCTATCTAGATGTTAAAATTTGTTGTGAGAACATGTAAGAACCGGGCTAGTGACCCAACGAAAATATGTTGAGATTTTCATACCTATTTTATACTATTTTTAATGATATTGCACTTTAAAGAAAGGTATTTTTGATGTTTTGTTGCAGGAATGATGAATTAGGGTCATTGGAGCAAAATGATGCAAAAAGGGCGAATTTGGAGCGAAAATGACCAAAATGTTGAGATTTGAACTAGGCCGCCGACGGCGCCCTCGACCCCGCCGACGGTGAGTTTTCCCCGAGGCTACAGAACAAAATTCTTCAGAAGTCCGCCGACAGCGAGCTTGGCGGTTA